TCTTTTTTTTCTTTTCTCATTTTGTATTTAATTTAAAATGAATAATTTTTTAAATAAAAAAAAAGAATAACACTGAGGATATGAACATTGGAAACTGGAAATATGGTGGTGCCCTCAATAGAAATAAGAGCAGTGGGTTTGGGGGAAAGGATAATGGGTTGTTTGGGATATATTGAGTTTGAGGTTTGCCTGGGACTTTCAACTTGAAATGTCCAATAGGTAACTGGTAATGTGAGGTTGAAGCTTAGTAAAGAGTCTGGCTGAGTATGTAGATTTAGGACTCACCTGGATAGAAATGGTAATTAAACCAGTGAGAGCAGCAAAAGAGAGTACCAAAGAGACCACAGAAGAGGAGGAAGGACAAAGCACCAGAACAATGGTTTGAAGTTGCAGAAAGGCAAATTTAGGCAGGTTAGGAAAAAACTTCCTAGAGATTAGAACTGTCCAACAGTGGAATGCACTGTCTTAATGTTGAGGGGTACTGGTGTTGATGTTTAGAGGTGCTGGGACCCCAAAATGATGACACGTGGGGTCCTGCGTGAATGAATTCTACCCAAGCCTTCTTTCAGCCAAAGACAAAGTTTATTAGAATATCTACCATATTGGCCAGACTCTTAAGGAATCTGAACATTACTGAGCTATTGGCTAGATTTTAAGAATCTGAGCACCTTAATGGAGACAAGATGGACTTTATATACAGAAAGACTGTGGGAGAGATCTAGGCATCCAAGGGAGAATGAAATCTAGATAGGATAAGGTTGGGGAGTGGCCTGGGGCGATAGGGAGGTAAGACAATGGAGGGCTAGACTAGGTTAAGGGTAACAGAGAATTGGAAGATTGGGCATATCCACAATGAAAAACCAGTTGATGGGATTATGGCCTCAGGTGAAATCCAGAGATTTGGCCAAGTGGGACAGTCCTGGGTTTTTCCTTTCTGAGGTCCAGATCCCAAAGACATGGAATTTTCCTTTTAGGGGTTCAGACTGGGACCCCAAAATATCAAGAGGAAGAGAGACGGATCCTGCCCAAAAGAATTCGATCCAAGCCTTTTTTTTAGGCAGAGATGACGTTTATTAAAAATCTACTATATTGGCCAGACTCTTGTGATCTATTGGCTAGGTTCTTAAGGAATCTGAGCCCTTGGCTAGACTGTTAAAGAATTTGAGCAATGGCTAGATTTTAAGAATCTGAGCACCTTAATGGAGACAAGATGGACCTTATATACAGAAAGACTGTGGGAGGGATCCAAGAATGGCCAAGTAGTCTAGGGTAACAGAACAGGATTAAGGGTGGGAAATGGCTAGAGACATTTGAGAGGTAACAGAACAGAATTGGGGGGCTGGGTGTAGCCACAATGAAAGGCCAGTTGAGTGGATTACAGACTCAGGCAAACACCAGAGATTTGGGAAAAGTCCAGGGGTTTTCTTTTTTGGGGTCCAGATTGCAAAAACATGGTCTTTTCCTTTTAGAGGTTCAGATCTCATCCCCATCACTAACAGGTGATGGGTTTCCCCTCCTTGGACATCTTCATGCAGAAGCTGGATGACCATTTATGGCATATGGTGTAATGGAGGTCCTTCTGGTAGGAGATGAAGGAAATGGCCCCCATGTTCCCTTCCAGCTCTCAGAATTCATTTTGTGACTTGTTGTGAAGTGCCTTTGCTCCAGCAAGGCACCTCAGCTGAGCTCTTCCAAGGCTGCTACCTCTTCCAAGACCTCAGCTGGGTCACAGTTTGTATCCATGAAGAAGTGAAGGCCATTCTATGAAACAGGCACGTGCAGAGCACACCAGGAGCCCACTCAATGAGCTCTACCAGCATTACTTATTCCTGAGTAGCTCCACATCACCATCACACCACCCCCTTCAGGTACATTGGAACACTGGACTAAGAAATCTGGACTTTAGTGCTACCTTTCCACAAACGACAGGAACACCTTGGATGAGCCCCTTACCTTTTTTTTTTCTAAATTAATTTATTTTGAATTATCAACAATCAATTCCATAAACTTTTGAGTTTTAAATTTTTCTCCCCCTGCATGCAATCTGATATAGTCTATACATATACAACCCCTTCACTTCTTTGGAGCCTGTGTAGTCTCTAAATTGAGTGAAATGGATTAGATGATCTCCAAGGTCCTGTCCAGGTTTAAATCTTAAAGTCTACTGAAACTTATGTCCTTTCAATATTAAATTTCTTTTCCCATCATCCTCTCTCAGATGAAGAAGTCTGTCTTCTAAGACAGACTTCTAAGACTCTTTCATCTGGGCTTCTCATAACATTGTCTCTTACCTCTTCCAGGAACTTGCTCCAAGAATTATCTCCTCTGTCTTTTGCATCTTCAATCTTTCCCTCTTCCCTGACATCCTTCTCTTCTTCCCTATGGAATCAAGGTTGCTCTTTGCTATACTAAAACAAAAACTTTTTAGGCCACTGTTCCATCTCTCTCTTTTTTACTAGCACACTTCTCGATGTAAGCCAATGACACACAGACATACTGGCCATCTGTACTGTCTCACCACCCAATTGCTCCTTAATTTCTTGCAATCTGGCTTGCATCACTACCATGAGTCTATTCCCTCAACTATTACCAATAACCTTCTGATTGCCAAATCAAATGGCATTTCATCAGTCTTCTTTGCAATATTTGGTAGTTTATTGTCCCCTTCCTTAGTTTCCATGTCATCCTGCACTTTTCCTCCTACCTTGACTGCTCATAATTTATCTTCACTGGCTTTCCTTTCAATTTAGATGATTCTGCAATGTTTTTTGCCCTTGACATTTTACTTTTCTTCAGGCATTTAATCTACTTCCAAAGTTTGACCTCTCGCTTCTTTGAAGATAACTTAAATCTTAACCACCAATCTTGATCTCTCCTATGCACCAAATATTTGCCTACTATGTACTGGGTACACCTCTAATTTCTGCCTCCTGAATATTGACCTGAATGTAACACTAGCATTCAATGTGTCTAAAACTAAACTCAGAATATCAGAAAAGCTGGAAGGGACCTACAATTAATCTTGCTTTTTACAGATGAGGAAACTGAGTCCCCAAAACAAATGATTTATCTGGTTTCCCCCCAAAACCAGTTTCTTAGCTTGGAATTCAAGACCACGATCTGACCTTACATGATCTGACCCTAACTTACTTTTTGAGTCTTATGTCACACTACTTTATTTGAACTTTGTATTCCTCTGTGACCAGAGTTCTTGCCATTTCTTAAACACATTATTTTTCTGCCTCTGTTAATAGCATTCCTAATACCTGGAATGTTCTTCCTCCAATATCTGCCTTTTGAGATTCAACTCATCCTTCAAGACTCAGCTCAAATGAATTTCCTCCAAGATGATCTATGTTTACTCAAAGTGATCTTAAAATTCTTTTGACAATTCATTTTTTTCTTAAAGCACTTATTGTTTCTATTTTCCATTATACTTATTTGTGTAAATGTCTTATCTTATTGTAAGTTCCTTGTAGGTAAAGATCATGTTTTATTCGTCTTTGAATTATCAGCCAGCATATCATGTACATGGTAGAAACTCAGTATTTTTTGAATGAATAAGGAATTAATTCACCCATGAATGTTATCTGCATTTATTAAGTGATAGTACAAGTAATATTTATAAGTCCAAGCAGTATATTGCCAATTGCTTCAAAAATCTGTTAATGCCATACTCTTTCCTTACGTGATATTCACAAACTAGGGACAGTAATCCAAGTAAATACAAAGCTTTGCTTTAGTAACTACAAATCCAATGTCAAAATGGCCGTCTATCACCCTGAGGTAGTTAGTATCACTAGTCTGAATATTTTATGTTGTTTAAACTATCAATCAACATAGAAAGTTATTTACCAAACAGTAGATCTTAGGAAAACAGCACCTTTATAGTTGCTTCTTCCCAGGAACTATTAAAGAATTCAGTGGATGTCAAATTAATTGTACCTCCTAATAAGATTAATAGTATAGCTATGGGTTAGTTGTTTTGTCCCCATAATTCAGTATTATTTTTCTCAACAAGGATAGAGTGCTAACAACCTGATTCATTGTCACAACTCCCATTGCCAGAGGTAGACCTTCCCACTTCTCTAAGTCCAGGATATGATTTTCTTCTGGTATTTTGACCAGTAATGGAAATCACAAAGTTGCAGTCCACCTTCATTCAAAAGTGACTGGACTGGGTGAACTTCTTTCAACCCCTACATACATCCCACTCCCTACCCTTCCTCCCCAAACCCAAGCAGTACCATAGTCTGTCTTCTAGAAGCTAGTACTTAAGTAGTTTCTTCTTACTCATCCAAGGCTCCAGTGACAAGATTAAAATAGTTCTATACTCACTTCTTGCCCAGGCTCTCTTTGTTGAACTTGGATTTATTCATTGACCTAACCTGGAGCATCATTATTTAATATAATAGTTTGCTTGTTTACTCTGAATCATGTTTTGAGGGGTCATATACTGAATGTTATTTTTCAAGTGTAAAATTTTATGAAGCTTTTGAAAAGATAGTTTCTCATTCAATATGGTACCCTCTAGATTATTTTCCCTATAGAAATTGTTGGCAAATAACAAATACCTTATTTCTTAAGTTTCATGCTACTTTCTCTTGTGTTAAAGTGCTAATAAGGATCTATTGTTCATATTCTTAAATTCTTATTATCCAGAACTGTCCCTAACTAGGACAATGTAAGGGAAAGAATATTTATCACTAAGGATGAGACCAGAAACAACAGAAAAAGGGGGGGGAGGGGAAGCCTCCCTTCCTTTGCTACTGAAAATACTTTGATAAACCATTACATCAGCATTATATGATTATGATGATCATGGTTTTATCCTTTTGATAGGTCTTTGCATATAGAGGAAAACTTGCTTCATTACATAGTAATGCTTTTCCCGCCAGCAGTCAAAGTTTGGGGTAGCTGTGGTACTTGAGACCATTTGTGACAGATTCTTAGCCAATCCTATTCCTCATTCTTCCACAGAAATACCAGTGACACCTAGAGGCATTACTTGGCTACTTTATTGGAATACAAGATTTGAATATGGGACTAAATGAGGAAACCAAACTCAAACCAGAAAAGAGCTTTGCTAATTACTTTCATTTCCTACGTATCATATATCACATATATGAAGGCAGGATTTACCACAAACTTATTTAAGATAAAACCTGAAATTAAATCAGATTTTTATAGCTTAAGGTTATAACATCTAAGAAGTATTTAAAACCTCTGACATAATTCATTTTTAAGAATCTTTACTATGGCTCTTGCACATATAATTATAAGTAGGCACTAACTAGAGATTAAGTCACAAAAAAAGCCAACCAAACTTATTTGCAAAGGATTTTAAAATGCAAGTTTGATGTGGAAAGGAACTACCAACTTAGAAGAGGCTCAATTCCATATTATGGTGCTTTTTAAATTAACTTTTGTAATAACATTACCAAATACAGCTTCCAGTATTTCTCATGGAAGAATAGTTTATACATACATATTTCTTTTAGGCAAACATGAAAAACAGATGCAATATACAACAATCTCCATTTTACATCACTCAAATACCAGCACAGACAAAAAGTTAATAAATTCATTCAGCTTAGCAGTACAATTTATACCAGAGCATGTGTTCCCATGTGCTAAGTTCAACATAATAAGTACAAGTGACAGCAAAAATTAAAGTTATCATCTTTAATGAAATGACTTTGGAAATAATGTATATTTCCATGACACCAACACAACAGTTTTTGGAGCCACAGTAAGATACACAGAATTACATCCGTAATTTGTATTAAATGTCAACATTTCAAGAAGCAATTTATTACATGGCAAACAAGATCAAGAAAGCAACCATCAAACAAAAGAGACCCATAGCTTCAGACAAGGCGAATCCCAGGATAGCATATGAGAACAGCTGCTGCTTCAGTGAAGGGTTTCTAAAAAAGAGAGGGCAAATATGACTGTCTTACTTGATACATTATTTAAGTTTCAATGTCTGCAAGGGCTGGTGGCAAAGTTTTTTTTTTTCCCCCAAACTTTTTTTAGGCTGTTGCCATAAGATACTGTTTCAATCAGTTTTAACTGTACATATATATTGCTACTTTTATTGGAATGTCACATGCCTAACAAGGTGAACTTTGTCAGCCTCGATTTGAGTTTTTATCTGAAAACCACTTTTCCACGGAAGAACACACTTAGCTGTTTTATTTCTAAGTTAAAACAACATAATCTGAAAGAACTCTAGACAAATAACTACTTCCATCCTAAGAGCCAGTTCTTCCTTGTGCAATTGTTACTAACAAAGACAGGTATGCATTTACAAGTGAGCTCAAACCAAATTACTAGAAAGCAAGACCTAAAGTATATTAGAAATAAGGTGGGGAGGGAAAACACAAAGACTACTTTATCTTTCCACCTGTGTGAAGACACACTTGGTTAAGGATATTTCATATATTTTGAGGGATTATAATAGACTATATTAAGTACGTCAATTGCTAAACCAAAAGATATGGTTTTAAAGTAAGGATTTAAATAATAAAGAATGTAAAAATATATCTGAAAGTCTCCTACGATAGCAATTTTAAAAGTATGCTCACCAATGAAATTATTTCCAGGTCCAAAACAGAGGATCTTACTTCCCTTTGCTAGATGCCCCCCCAAAACAAAAAACTTAATTTTGATGACTGAAAAATAAATGACTTTGTTAAATATTTTATAAAGTCATTTTCAAACACAAATTTAGATTAGCCTGCATGCAGTCCAATGACCATGAATTCTTTTACATAAGGAAAAAGTTACCTGGCATAACCAATAATCAGACTACCAAAGACAGTTCCAATACCAGCACCAGAACCAGCCACTCCTACTGTGGCAGCACCTGCACCAATAAATTTGGCAGCAGTGTCAACGTCTCTGCTGATAGCACTGGTCTGGAACTCCCGTAGTGCTATCTGAGACACCCTGTTCTGGGCCCCATAAGATACCGTGTTGCCCTATTGGGAAAAAAAAAGACAAAGGTCAAATCAGTAGTTAGATTATTTAAATGACTATATTGTCAAACTATTGCCATAACTAATGCTCTAATTTTAGTTTTAATACATGTAGGTAAGCAATGTATTTATTAGAAACAGTGGGTATATAATGTGAGCACACACATCATTTGAAGTCCAAGTTCCTGATTTGTTAGCTAGTTAAATGACTATATTATCAAACCACTATCCTACCTATACTACTATAGTTTTAGCTTTAAGACGTGTAAGTAAAAATATTTTTATTACAGACAGTGCATATTGCTTGGAGTCTGAGGACCTAGGTTTAAATTAAATCTTAAATCTGCTATCATTATTACCTTGGACAAATCACTTAACCTCTCTAGGTGTCAGTTTCCTCATTTGTAAAATAAGGAGTCTGAACTAGAATCTAAGTACTGGATGATCTCTAAGTTCCTTTCTAGCTCTAAATATGTGATCTATAACACTTGAGTCCCATGTGTTGATTTCAGGACTTCTCAAATGGCTCAATCTCTAGAACTTGTGTCTGTTTATTCCTTATTTTATCCTTGTTAGAGAGGATGCAAACAGATATGAAACACATAAGACTTATTAGTTTGATATGGTTCTCTCATAACCAATTACCTCTCCACTCCTGACCTCTGGTCGAGACAACACTGCTGCAGAAATTGGTCTGTATACAATTCTGGATCCAGCACGGATCTGATAAAAGAAAAGATAAATTAAGTCCCCAAATATTAACAGTATTTATAATTAAAGTAAATATGTATAATACACAATAATAATAAAAGCAAACACATGCTCTGCAGAACTGCAATGACTTTTTTTTTGTACCCTAAGTTCTGAGAAAACCAATGGTTAAAAACTGACTAGGGTTATTCTCTAGACTAGAAAAGAATTACTTATATATATAGTATACTGACTTACAGGTCTTTTAGGGGGCATATCATACTATATGTTGCATTTTCCAAAAAATAAAATGGTCTGATTCAAATTTTTAAAATTAATTTTAATATTATAGCACAAACTATTTCTAGGATTCCGTAGTGAATCTAAAACCGATTTCGGAAAACCTGTTTGTTAAGTGAGATAAATAGCCTAGGTACATGGAAAAGAAAACCTAATTAGACTCTGGTTATCTTTGAAGCTGATATATGTCATTCAAAATATTCCATCCCATGTTTAGTATTTGGATTTTTAAAAAACAAAAATAACTTCTAAAAATGAAAAAAAAAGCTAAATATTAATAGATTAATTAAAATGTCCATTTCCAAAGTCCTGGTAAAACACTAATCATTAAGTCAAAAAAAGCACTATTTAATTACACTCTACAACAGCCAAGGAGATCTCTTCCAATTCGGCCTATGCCCTTGGGTTTCTACTGGCCTAAGGTCACCGAGTCCTAACAGAACTTTGTCCCGATTCCCAGACGAGCCCTTCTGGGTCCAGCAATCACCCCCGACAGCACAGGGCCCGGCCGGCCGCCCCGGCAGCGCCTTCTCCAGCTCTTCCCCGCCCAGTCGGGGAGGCGAAGTCCCTCCCTCCGGGGCTGCGGGAGAGTTTGACCTACAGGCAAGGAGCTCGCCGTGTCGCAGCCGCGGAACTAGGCCCCTGACCCCAGCAGGAGACCCTCACCACGCACTCGTGGCAATGACCCAGAAGTCCCTTTCTTGACCCTGAGGGCTGGGCCCAGCCGCGGAGAGAAGCCACCGAGCCAGGGCCGGGGGTTTGACCTACACTCAGGGTGAAGCCTGACAGCTAGGCCCCGCCGGCCTCCCCACCTCTCCGGGCCCAGGAGTTCTGCAGCCCCTTAGCCAGGGAAGGGAAAAGAGGGGGGGCCCCGCCTCCACGGGCTCTCGAAAGCAGCCGCGAAAAAAGGGCAATGGGAACCCCAGGCCTGCAGTGGATCCACCGTGGCCTCGCCCGACTCCCCTGTCATTCAACGTGGACGCTCCCGGAGGGCCGGGGCCCTCAGTTCCCCACGCCGAGGCCACTCACCAGAGCGGGGGAGCAGGCAAGCTTGGCGCAGGCGAACATCTTAGGGGCAGCTGGGGCAGCGGCGACGGAAGAAGGGACCAGGTGGCGGGAGGCGAGGGCTCGACTTAGGCAGCTTTCTCTTCTGTCTGCGGTGGGAGGAAACAAGCTTTAAGGTCAAATGCTCGTTCGGAACTTGCTTCCCCCGATTCTCCTCCCCGGAACCTCGAGCCCGCGCCCGCTGCGTCCCCCCCCTCTTCCCGCGCTGCACCCGGTGCCGGATGCAGCCCGAATGAATGAGGGAGCGGACTGGGTCGGGTCGGGCTCCCGCGCGCCCGCCGCTTACCTCCCTCGGGTGGCTGCGGCAGAGGTCGAACCGAGTGGGGCTGGGCGCGCAGGCGCAGTCAGCCTCTTATCCTAACCCCAGCACCCGGATGGAGGAGGCGGAGGGGGCTACGGCGGAGAAGGCGGGGGAATCCGAGCGGGTTGGGGTTTAGGGAAATAGACACTCAAGGTCACTTTGTAACAACTTTATTAGTAACAAGCTGGGAAGGACAACGGGGCTGCCGGTGCAAAGGGCGAGTGGGAGGGAAAGGATTAAGAAGGGAGTGGCGTCGATCGCTGCGTGGAACTGCTTAGTCTAGGTCCGGAGAAGAATAGCAGAGGATCTACCTTCGCCAAATCCCTATTCCGCATGTTTTTGAGAATTCATCTTTTCTTCTCACTTTCCAGGCCTCCTGCAGAACAAGAGCCATTTTTTGATTAGGATCTTTATTTCCTCTTGAGAAACGTGTCTAGAGAGCTTTGGGCTTTCACCCAGTGCCAGGGATGGGTGAAAGCAGAGTGTTTGACAGGCCGGGGACTTCTTGACCTCTGAACTGCGCTCACAGACAGCCAAATACTATCATTTGCAGTGAAATCATTAATTAAGAACTCTCAGAGAAATGGTTTTTATGTCTTTAAATGCCTAGAAAATTGTTCCGGATCTAGGGTGTGACACTTAGGAAGTTTGGGTACAAGAAGTTGGTTTGTGGGGTCTTGGCACTGAAATTTTGGAGTAGTTGAAAGAGCCCTGGTTTGGCTATCATGAAACCTTTGGCTTCTGATCTCAGTGCAACTAATTAGGTTTGTAACCACTTTGCCTTTTTGGACCTCACCTTCCTCATCAGCAAAATGAAGGGACAAGACTGGATGATATTCAAAGTCTGCTCTAGCTCATGTACTTGGTTCTATGATTGGAAAAATAAAGAGCCAAGTTCATTTGTGTTACTTAGCAGTGTTTGCCTCTGAAAAGCCTTGATTTCTACCCTTATTTTTAGTAACTTTCAGCAAATAAATTGTCTCAGATGAAAATGAAGCTTCATTCAGGCCTCAGAAATGTGTCCTTAGGTTTCAAAAGTACAAAAGACATTAGGAGTTACCAACGATCACTTAATTAGCAAATCTAATCGATTTTTCTCTATCCTCATCCTTCTTAACCTCTTTGAGGCCTTTGACATTCTTTCCTTCCTGATGCTCTCTCTTTTCTCTCTGTTTTTGTGTCATGGTTGTCCCCTGGGTTCTCCAATCACCAGTCTAATTGTTCTTTCTCAATCTCTTTTGCTGGATCTTCAGGTCTTCAGCTTACCTCAGTGCCCCCCAAACTCTGCCCTAGGTCTTTTTTTCTTCTCCCTCTATACTGTTGGTGATTTCAGCTCCTGTGGATTCAATTATCATGTCTGTGCAGATACTTCTCAAATCTATTGATCTCTATCCTGACCTTTAATCTGATATCTCCAACTGCCTTTTGGACATCCAAAACTGAATATCCCATAGACATTTTAAACTCAAGCTATCCAAAACCCTTCTTTCTCTCCAAAATTCTCCTCCCTTCCTAACTTCTCTTTAGGGCACCAGCATCCTCTCAGTCATCCACACTTGCAACTTGGATGTCAACTTTGACTCCTCACTCTCATACCCCACTCATAACTAATCTGTTACCAAGCCTGGTTCTCAACTTATCTCATAAAAACCCTTCTCTCCTCTGACATAGGGGCCACCCTGATGCAGGCCCTTATCACCTCATGCCTAGACTATTATATTGCCCTTCTGGTTGCCCTCCCAGCCTTGTTTCTCCTCCATATAATCTGTCCTCCATTCAGCTATCAAAGCGATCTTCCTAAAGTGTGTGGCTGACCATGGCACTCTTCTCCCTTCTCCTTCCATTCAGTAGACTACAGTGGTTCTCTGTCACCTTCAGGATTAAATCTAAAATCCTATTTTGGGCTTTCAAAACCTTTGAATCTGGCCTTTTCCTAAATTTCCAGTCTTCTTACACTTATTATCCAGCAATACTGATCCCTTTGCTATTCCTCAAACGTAATACTCCATCTCCAGACTCCATGGATTTTTGTTGATTGCTCCTTATTCTTGGAATACTCCTATCTATGCCTCCTGGATTCCTTGGTTTCCTTCAAGTTTCAGCTCAAATTCCACCTTCTACAAAAGGCATGTTCTTCCTCAGTGTTAACAATTACTTCTGAGATTACCCCCAATTTACCTTGTGTTTATCTCATATGTACATAGTTGTTTAAATCTTTCCTCTTTCATTAGATGAATTCCTTGACAGCAGGGACTGTTTTTGTCTTTCTTTGTATCCCCAGTGCTTAGCATGGTGCCTGGCATGTAGTAAATACTTAATGTCTGCTGACTTGACTTGAATTGATTTATAGGCTTAATTTCTAGGATTTAGAGTTCATTATGTCTTCAGTTTCTATCACCTACTCTGTTTGTGAATTGTGTAGTAGCTAGTCGTAACTGATCTTCAGCCCAGTTTCTGAATTTATGATTTACATATCTTCAAGAAAGGCAGTTAAACCTTATCTTCAAATTTTTTTTTGCCTGAAGTTCTGTTGTTCAGTCGTTTTTGAGTTGGGTCTGACTTTTTGTGACCCCATTTGGGGTTTTCTTGGCAAAGGTAATGAAGTGATTTTTCCACTTCCTTTTCTGGCTCATTTTACAGATGAGGAAACTGAAGCAAACAGGGTCAAGTGACTTACCCGGGATCACGAAGCTAAGAAGTGTCTGAGTCATAGGTTCCCAAAGTGGGCAGTACTGCCCACTGAAGAATGCTGGAACCATTCAGGGGGGCAGTAGTAGCCCTAAGTATAATTGGGGGGCATTGAATAAAAATAAGGGGGTGGTAGAAGCATAAAGAAAGAAGAGAAGAAAAATTTGAAAAACCATTTGTATATGTTTCATCTGTTGTGTAACAGAGTTAAAGTCATAGTGATTACATTATTTTCCAAATAAACACACATAATGCAAGTTATAACTGAATAGTGGTTAAGTTGTTCAACAGGTCTTAACAAGCAAGTGTTGGCAGGTGAGCTTGTTGCCCCTTGTCCTCCCCCTCCCCCTTGTCTTCTCCCTCATCCTTCCCTTTCCCCTCATCCTCTTCCTCCTCCTTCTCCATCCACATGGGGAGTCATACTCTTACATGTGGGTGCTCTGTCCAAAGGAATATAATTTTTGATCGCTTACACTTTGCAAGATATCTTGGGGTTTGCGGGCTAGATTTTTTTCTTCTCTATTTATTCTATCATTTTGTTCAAAAGTCTGGGAAAGTTAAGTGTTTTGTCTTGTATTGTTTCCATTTATAATTTCTTGAACTATATCTTTGGAAAAACAGTCTTTGAAAAAGCCCATTATAATTCAAATGGACCTACTTAACTATGCCTCTAAACCCAAATCCCTCTGGCTTTCACTGATTGGCCAATAGTAAGTCCCAGCTCCTCACTTGCTCATTGTTTGCTCAGAGTGAGTATAAATAGTAATTGTTTCTGTTCTGTCCCAAAAATTCTAAATGTCTTCCTCTGGATTAATTCTTTTGTGAAGGCAAACTAGACCATCTTTTGTCTCAATTCCTACCTTGCCTTTAATCATCAAATGGTGATTATCTCAGACAAACTGAGACCTGGGGAAGACCTTAGCTTAAAAAGGCCAAGGGCTCGCATTGCATCCTAGGCCGTCTCAAATCGTCCTAATCTCTATCGTGGCACTGGATCTAGGTTGCTCTGGGGGAAAGAGTGAGGCTGGTGACTTTGCACAGGCCTGCCTCACTTAAATCCAATTCACTTGCAAGTCAAGGCATCACCATCCTGGTGTTATTGGCCCTCTTTGAGAACAAAGGACAAATGACAAAAAGTTCTAAATAATTGGAAAATTTTAATTGCTCATGATAGATTGAGCCAATCTAGTAAAGATGAGATTACTATCTAAATTAATTTACTTATTCAGCATCATACCAATCAAACTACTAAATGATTACTTTATAGAGCTAGTAAAAACAATAACAAAATTCATCTTGGGGAACAAAAGGTCAAGAATTTCAAGGGGATTTATGGAAGTGGGAAAGAAGAGGACCTAGCAGCATGATCTCAATTATATTACAAAGCAGTAATCATCAGAACAATTGTGTATTAAGTTAGAAATGAAGAGGTTGAAGGATGGAACAAATTAGCTATTCAGTAAGTAGAAGAAAATTAACACAGTAGCCTAGAGTTTGATAAACCAAAGATCCCAGCTAATGAGGCAAGAACTTACTATTTGACAAAAACTGTTAGAAAAACTGGAAAGCAATCTGGCAGAGATGCTCACACCATATACCAAGATAAGCTCCAAACAGATACCTGACTTAGACTTGATGGGTGACATCATAAACAAATTAGAGGAGCAAGGAAGAATTACCTATCAGACCAATGGATAGGGGAAAAGTTCATGACCAAACAAGAGTTAAAGAGGATCACAGAAAGTAAAATGGACAGTTTTGATTACATAAAAATTTTAAAAGGTTTTGCACAAATAAAGCCAAAGCAACTAAAATTAGAAAAGGTGCATTGTAGTGGAAATATGAATTACTTTGTGAGGCAGCTGGTGATTCAGTGGATGGAAGGCTAGGCCTGGAGTCAGAAAAACCTTAGTTCAAATCCAGCCTCAACATGTACTAGCTATCTGACTCTGGGCAAGTCACTTAACCTGTGTTTCCCTCAGTTTCTTCATCTGTGAAATGGGAATAATAACAATAGCACCTATCTCTCAGGATTGTTATGAGGATCAGATGAAATAATATTTTTAAAAAGCACTTAGCACAGTGCCTGCCACATAGTAGTCATTACATAAAGACTTCTATCTTTCCCTTCTCCCCCTGTGATCCTTTGATGCTTCTTAGTCTCCAGTTTGGTGGACTAGTGCTGCAGTTTTAAATTGCTGTGGAAACTTACTAGCTAGCTTACTGAATTCCTCTACATTCTGCATCCCCACTCCATGTCTTAGTCTTCCCTGGCTGTGTGTAACAGAGTGGAGCTTTTACAGAAAGAATATTCATTTCAAAAGATAATCACAAATATACAAAGAAACTGTCCCCTGCAAAATCCCTCTTCCTCCTTTTAACCCCTAATTCTTTGGGGAAGGGAAGA